ATTTCTTCTGTTGATCATAATTGTTACTGTTCAATCATGTACGTAGAGACTAAATACACAGGATCAATGCATTGTCTCCAGCAATGAAACACACGGCAAAGATCAGTAAAAGGAGAAAAAAGGCCATTAAAAAATTCACCTTTGAACTCCATCTGAGACCAAGTATAGAATCTCCTGTCACTAATCCGTAATCATAAGGGTGCCCCTATTAGACTATTATCGCAAAGTAACACTGAAGCAATTGAGCAAATGAACAGTCCCGTTTACTGCGTTGGGACCACCCATACAGTAAATGGCAATTTCTGGAATACGTTCAAAGGCTGGAATTCAGTTCTACACAGCAGTTGCCAGAAAGTAATTTTTACCTTCCGAGATTCTTTTTTCCCTTCCTTAGCAGGTTCATGCTATCAGGTAAAACAAGACGACCGCCTCCTGGCTTGCACTCCTTCTGCTATTCCAGTGATACACAGTAATCATTAATGCTTAAAGCAACTTTGGAAGTGCAATAGATATTATCAATTATGTCCTCTCAGTCCCAGACATTTACCTGAAGGCTTCTGGGCTTCGTTCAAATATAAACCAAAAGAACTCAAAGAGTTAGCTGCGTAAGGATAAAACAGGAGGGTACAGGGATCAGTGTAAAGGTATTGACCAGACTACCGAAAAAGCACACCTTGCGGTTCAAAAGTATAAATTTATGCCTAAATCTAAATAGTGCATGTGCATCTCTTCAAAGAACTGTCTTTAAAGTTAATTTTATCTGTAATTCCAGGTGAAAGTGTGAGCTGTCCAAGACAGCGAACAAAATGTTACCCAGCGCAATGCCATCTTGTGGTAAAGGGGAAAACTGCCTGTGCCGCCTGGCCCGGATTTAAACGCACAGGGACTCTGCTGCTCCGTACTGTACGAACGACACTCAGAACCGTTGCCATGGAAAAACAAAGACTTTAACCTAGTTAGAATTACAAAGTATAAGCTTTGATATCCTAGGCTTTAGGATTTGAGAATCAGCTATTCGTCTTCATTTTACAAGGCTGGCATCTTATTTTCACTCCAACAATACTGCTGTGCCTTTATACTCGGAACCGTTTCCATCACACCAAACGTAATGTGAAGGCAGAGACATGATATAACCTAGCAGAAAATTGTATCTAGTATAAAAACTCCCATCCCTTTCCTTGGCTACAGTTAAGTGCCATCATGAGCTTGTTTTTAGGACACCAGGGATCAGCTCAAAATGTTATGGCCATGCGAGCCAAACCACTGTACAGCTATAAAAGCATTCTTCCATAGCTCATTTGTTTAAAAATAGCAGAGAGGTATCTTTGACCCAGCTGATCTTTGGGTGCACGCACTACCACCCGATCACCTCCCTTATCATTATGCCCGACGAGACAGCTGCCAGGTGATACTCCTTTCCAAACGCTGTTCCTCCCCTCCCTTCTCTGCGGGGAGACTTGCCCACAAGACCCGCGTTCGTCTCTGCGGAGCTGCAGCACACAGCACTTGAATTTTGGTCCTGCAGCGAGCACTTACAGGCATCGCTCTACAGCAACGACTGTCAGACACAATGATACGCTACCAGAAACAAAATAAGAAAACCAAACCCATGCTAAAAGCATTTCCCCGTTTCTCAGCGTCGGACGGGCTCGGTGTTTGAGTTACCATGGCACACCCCTCACGCAGGCAGGGGTAGGGAAAGCGGCGGGGCCCCGCTGGCTCTGCGGTGGCGACAGCTCTGCACCGCGGAGCGCCAGCGTGCTTGTGGCGTTTGCATCCCCCCGCGCACTGCCTCCTTCCAGACGTTTTCTGCCTCAGGCCCACTCGCGGCGAGGGCGGGAGGCGGGTTTGGGGCCGCCCCGGCCCACACACCGCCCCCGCCCCGGGGCCGCCGGGGG